CTCTCTTTCTCAGCCCAACCAACCTTCTAGGGTTGCTGTTATGGGAAAAAGAGGAGGAAGGAGTATGTTTGTCACCTTCAGTTATAAATAAACAATAATAAAGGTGGCATAAAAATCAGATCTGCCATCTCTCTTTCTCACACAGTCCCTAGTGCAATGACACTGATTCTCTGGTTAAGTGCTTACAGCAGCCATCTACAATCATCTATTCCCCAGAAATGTTGGACTTCAGGGCTCATAACCCAAAACATTCACTCTGGGCAGCTGATTGGAGAAAACTTCCTTCCTTCCTTCCTTCCTTTCCCTTTTTAAAAGCCTACATCTTTTAATAAAATACATTAGTCTGAAAAGGTGCTACCAGAGTCCTCCTAATTTTTGCCTTTATAGTAATGACTCTGTAACTTTCCATTTTAACCCTTTTCTATGTAAGGCTCCCATGTGGTGCTGTCTGCTAAATCAGTCCTTCCTTCCTTCCTTCCTTCTTTCCTTCCTTCCTTCCCTCCCTCTCTCCCTCTCTCTCTCTCTCTCCTGCCATCGAAAAAACGGCTCTCCTTTCTCCCCTCCCCCCCCACAAAAGCAGCCAATTTTGATTTCGAAACCAGTACTGTACAGCAACTGCATTCCCTCCAGAAGGAAGCGGTAGTGACTCCACCAGAGAGAAAGAAAAGGGAAAAGCGGAGGAGGATCATAGAGATAGGACAGAGAAGAGAAGGAAGTCTGAAAAGGTTAGTCTCTAGAAGCTCCATAACCCAAATCCCGCTGGGATTTCTTTCTTTCTTTTTCTTTTGGGAAAGCTGGCAAGGTAGGTCGGGATCCGAGGTGGGCATTCAAACCAATGCAAACTGGATGCGTCTCTGTTGCCGTTGACTGATCAAAAGGAACAGAAATTGTTTTCTTCTGCCTTTAAAGTTTCTGCGAGGGATACTGACTTTCCAAGTGGCTTCCTTTCTGACGTTTCTGGGTAGGCTGCGTAAATTTTTCAGATTGAGCTGGGGTTGAGTTGGGTTTTTCTCGAAGAGCTGGAGCGTGCGGAGCTGTCATCTCGCTGGCCAGAGTTTGACCGCAGCAAGGCTGACAACACAGCGACGCGTAAAGCTGGGAAGAAGGCTTCCCCGCTTGAAAGGGGAAAATGCTACCAGGGTTGCGGTTCGAGGCACGCTTCCCTGATAGTTTGTATCGTTGGAGACTTAACTCCCGAATAAGATGTCTGTGCTGAAAACAATGCAATATTTTGCACGCTGCAGCGCAAGGCCGGTTAACTTGATGGAATCTATTTAGAGAAAACTCCTGTAAGTTTTTATTCAAGTTATGCAGCTAAAGCTTCCCATAAATTTGCGACTGAGCTACCAACATCATAACTGAATCTCCCATACGTTGCTTGCAGTCTTCGTTTCTTTTCTTTGGTGACTTTTAATCACTCTTTTTGACTCTTCGTTTTTGTTTTACGGCAATAAATCCATTCCCCCGCCCACCTTTTCTACTAAGTTGGAAGATGGCTTTATAAATGGCTTTCTTCTCTGGACTTAAGCTTCTTCCTGTTAGTAGGCCTCATTCTATTCTGTGGATGTCATCAAAGGTGATAAATTACACACTCTTTGACTTAAACAGTTCTCTCTTTTGAGGTTGTCACATTGGAATAAGTTGTACTTTCTTCTCCCTAAATATGCAGGTGTTTGGGGTAACTGGCAAATTGCCTTGAAGCCATTGTGTAATGATCAGGTGTGAATGTAGTTCCAAAAGTCAAAATGGAGGTTATAGTAGCTTCACCTTTTTTTAATGTGTTACATGTGAGACATACATCAAAAATAGTTGGTGCTTTGATCACACTGTCAGGTACCAATTAAAGCCTTAGGGTATAAATTGAAGTATCCAGGTTAACATCTCCACTCATTTTTCTAACTTACAATTTCACAGAAGGCTGTTAGAAGGAAAGATTCCGAGTTAGGTTCCTCTGAAGATTAGATGGGATGTAAATTAAAGGATACACAACTAAATTATCAGTTCTAGTTAAATGAATTACCATTTTCATAGAGACTTTACTTTAAAAAAATAGCTTTCTTTCACTGAGATTTTGTTGCTGAAATCATGTAATGGTGAAAATAAAAAATAAAGTATGTCTTGGGATGTATAAAAAGATATACGAAAGGCTTTATTTTTCTTCTTTCACCTTGAATCTTTCTCATAGTGGTTTATTAATGTGTCATGTGTAGCACAGTGCAAAGGTTAAGTTGTGCACTGCAATGCCTTTTGGTTGTCAGGTGATATGAGATGGCTGATAGAAAAAAGTAACACCCATTTAAAGATGACAGAGTTTTCAGTGATTGTTCCTCACAATATTGTCTTTCTAATAGTCTTTCATAGGAAATAGCCTTTTCCACATGAGCTGAAATGTTTTTCTAAAAGTATATAGGTTATCAGATAGTATTGCGAGGATGTGGACATGTATTTTAGGAAACTTCCTAAGAAAAAGAAATGCTTATACATAATTATATAAAGCTTCCTAAAGACAAAGAATAAGCTGGAGCTTAATAATGATTTATTAAATAATCCACAATTAAACAAATCCACATAAAATGCCAAGCCAAAATAGATTTTTTTATATATAGCCGGACATACAATATAGAATGTTAAGCCAAAAACACATTTGATCCTGTCTACAGATTGTGCTATGGTTTAGAATCAAAAATCATTTGAAGATGGCAGGATATCAATATTTCCAATACATAAGTGCCCTGGTGGCACAGTGGTTAGAATGCAGTATTGCAGGCTAATTCTGCCAACTGCCAGAAGTTCAATTCTGATCCATTCAAGGTTGACTCTACCTTCCATCTTTCCAAGGTTGGTAAAATGAGGACCCAGATTGTTGGGAGCAATATGCTGACTCTGTAAACCACTTAGAGAGAGCAGTAAAGCACTATGAAGCAGTATATAAGTCTAAATGCTATTGCTATAAAGTAGAAGAACATTTGACAACCTTCAGATGACAGTTTCTGGAGGAAACATGGAAAGGGAGAGATTACAAGGGAGTAATCTGCCATGGTTAACCGAGGACAACTGAGGACATTGTGTAATGAAATATATGATGAAAAACACAGCATACTATGTTAAGTTACTTACAACAGCATTATGGGACCCAGCTTGTTTAAGCATTATGTATTCATATTTGAATTAGTCCTGTTGGTAAAGGGTTAAGTAGAGTTGAGGTGTCAACATACTTGAATGGTGAAGTTTCTCAACATGAGGTCCCTTACAGTTTTGCTCTTAATCTCTTGCCAACAATATCAGAATAGCAGAGTTGGAAGAGACCTTGGAGGCTTCTAGTCCAACCCCCTGCTCAGGCAGGAAGCCCTCTACTCTACTCTACTCTACTCTACTCTACTCTACTCTACTCTACTCTACTCTACTCTACTCTACTCTACTCTACTCTACTCTACTATACTATACTATACTATACTATACTATACTATACTATACTATACTATACTATTTCAGACAAATGGTTGTCCAATCTCTTTAAAATTTCCAGTGTTGGAGGAACACATCCCTTTTCATGACACATGACACATTCCTTTCCAAGACATATCAGTTTTTCATTAACCATTACTGACTGTAAGAAATGAGCACGCTGAACCTGGGGTCAGGGTTAAATGTGTCATCAGTCTGGAATTACTACATTCCCTCAAGACACCCAAATCCATCTCTCCCCTCCTTGAATTCAGTTGACCCTTTCCTAGCGCCAATTTGACTTGACCATTAGTAGATCAGATTCTTGTGTATAGGTAGCATGCAATAAACTTTTAGTGCTTTGAAATCAGTTCCTGTTCCTGGTTACTTCACCTGACACTAAGCAGCTGCATGATAGTTCTTATCTCTGGTGTCTGGTATCCAGACTTACTCAGCTGGTTTTCTTGCTTTCACCCATGTGAAATCTGTGTTTTTCCTCGGGTTCAAATTCTATTCATTTGTTTTTCCCAGTATGTCAATTCTTGAACATTTGGGAGATGTTTTTGAATTGTTGTTGAATAAAGTAGCACTGCAGTTATAAATACAACATCAGTTCTTTGATGAGCTCCAGTTATTTTTGGCACATTAAAGGTGGATCACTTCAATGCTTTGTTCAAAGACTATGTGAATCATTCAATTTTGCAAACTGAGTGCAGCCCCCCCTTCCCCTCTCAGCACCTGCTACTTGAAGCCTTAAGGGGGCTATGTCTTTTGAAGCTTGACTTGGCCATTTCAGGTCCTCCCCACATCATCTAAGCATACAAAGAAGCTCTTCAGCTGCTTGATCTGATTGGAACTGCCTTCTGTGCCTGCAGAGGCTTGTTCAGAAGACATGGAGAAAGCCCTAAAATGTCTGCTCCAAACCTTAAAGAGTTGTGGCTTTCTGAAGGCTTCAGGTAGTATATTTGGAGAAATGCTTTGGTTGCTTCACAAAGCATCCCACCAAAGGATTTCTACAGCTCAGTTATCAGATGGAGCTACAAAAGTGTATAGATCTGTTGCACCAAAATTATCAGATCCTTTGAGACTTTCATATCTACAGGGTAGAAAATTGATGGCAAGTTATTGAGTGCTTGAGCTGTCTGCATTTTCCTGCAATGTTAGGAAACAATTCTAAGGATGAGATCACTGAAATCTTGACCATTTAAAAAAAATATTTATTTATAGTGTATAGATATTCACATTGTCAACAGAACATAATAATGCTACTGGTAATCACAATGAACAAGCTCATTCTCCAGGTGTAAGGACCCACTTCAACCCACATCTTAAGAAAGCAAAACTCTTGGAAACAATCTCTTCCAACAGGAACTTTTATTAAGAGTAATTGATAGCAGGCATAATAGACAGGATCTGAGGGATTCCCTTACAGATCGATGTTTTAAAGTGTCCCTCAGCAAACCCCACCCCAGTTCTTCCGGGAAAATTCAGAGCGGCAAATTTCTAGGTGTTAAATCCAGGAAAGATAACATCAATCCGGCTCCTTGTGCACAATCATGCAACAGCTCTTCACACCTTATTTTGATGGAGAAATAAACCAGATCCTGGAGGTCTGTATCTTTTCACCCCCCCCCTTTTCCTAGCTGCCCGGTAAGGAGGAGAAGTTCAGAGGGGGCATAGGATAAGAGGCAAATTGTTACATAGTAATGGTTAGCAGACATGAAGGCAAATAAACAAAGGTTACTTTGTAGTGAATAGAGGAAGTGAAAGTAATAAACCCGCATGCATATCCCCCCTCCCCCTTGGGAGTATTGCAGGATCCAGGGAAGGGTAAGAATTGGTTTTAGATCAGAGAAGATAGATAGAAAGGAAATATAAATAGATTCTGACACCAGGATTTAAGGAGAATATAATCAAGTCAAATAGACTCTTGCACTGACAGCACACTCTACAGAATGATTGTTCAGAATAAATCCCACTGTGTTTGAAATTGGTTATACCCAGCAGGAAAGTATAGATAAAATTGTTTTGACACTCTCCTAGACCCTCTTTTCTATACTCAAAATTGTTGGTTAATTACATATTTCTATGAGATCTTAGAATCTAGATAACTAATTTTGGATGCTTTTCACAGGTTCTAAAGTATTCAGAATGGAAGCAAAGAAAGCAAATATATTTTCTCCAAATTCTCCCGGACAAAATGTGAACCCTGATCTCGACATTGAACGAAAAAATATCTCTTTCTCCATTGAGCACCTTACTAATATACTGGATGGTGGATCAAACAAAACCAAGCTTCGGAGGGAAGTTGGTTAGTAGATAACTCAAAAGAATTCATGACAAATTAATTTTATTTATTTATTTTTTATTTGACTCCTACACCTCTGTGCCTCTCTGTATCCTATGTCTTTCTTTCTCTCTATCCTATGGACATCTTCCATCATTGCAATACTGCATATGTTTGTATGTTTGTTTGTTTGTTTGTTTGTTTGTTTGGATGTTTGGATGTTTGTTTTAAGACTGGAGTTATCTCTTTGATTTTAAGTTATAGCAGCCAAAAGAAGCAGCAAACATTAAAACCAGGCTAACTACATTCTATGTAGTCTTTGGAACTTAGTTTATGAAATTATCAGTTTTAAAAGAGGAAAAAGTAAGTCCCTTGATCAAGGAGAAAAACACACACAAAAAAGTATGCATCTAGGATTTGGAAGGAAACCATATCTTGATTAGAGTTGAGGGAAGAATTTTTATGTTCTGAAAAGTTTCTGTTGCTGAAAATAAAAACGTGTGGTTCAGCATTGGAAAATGCTTTCGTCACTTGATGAAAAATCCTGAAAACTTGTGTAACTTTGCAGTATAGTAATTGGCTTGGCTCTCATATATTATTGTAATTTATTTTTCAGTGAGACAGGTTACTGTAATAACTTGGTAAATTATTCTTTAGTAAACCACTGCAACTATTTTAAAAATAAATTAAGCCAATCTTTTTGACATATCACTCAAATTAAACAATATTCATTTTTAGAGAATTGTATATATTGAAGTTAGAGCTCACAGAGTACATTACAGTAGAGGTCTCCAAGTTTAGCAACTTTAAGATTTGTGGAGAATTCTGGGAGTTGAAGTCCACAAGTCTTAAAGTTGCCAAGGATGGAGACCCCTGCATTACTCTTCCCCCACCCGCCACCTCTCTCTGTGGGTTTTTTTTTGGGGGGGGGTAACTCTGAGTCAGTTTTGACTCCTGGCAACTGTCTGGACCAGGGGTAGGCAACCTTGGCTCTTTTATGACTCGTGGACTTCAACTCCCAGAATTCCTGAGCCAGCCATGCTGAGGGAAAAGGGAGAGGTTTCCATGCTGAGCCATGCTAGCTCAGGAATTCTGGGAGTTGAAGTCCACGAGTCATAAAAGAGCCAAGGTTGCCTACCCCTGGCTCTGGACCAATTCCTGCAGTTTACTTGGCAAGATTTCTGGCAATAGTTTGCCCTCACATTCTTACTAGCACTGAAAAAGAGTGACTGGCCCAAGGTCACCCAGCTAGCTTCAGCCTCAGTCAGGACGAGAACTCAAGATCTCCAACTTTCTAGCCTTGATGCCTCAACCATTACACCCAACAGGCTCTCATTAAAGTCAGAGATAATATAACAATGTTTAGATGTAGTTTATATCTTCTTCACTGCTTACTTTTGGCATTAAGTGGTGCATACAAACTAAACTTGACCAAATTGTATGTTTCATCTTGTTGTGATTTCTTTGTCTTCCCATCGGGTTTTTTTTCCCCATTCAAAAGTACTTATTGATCAACATACAACCATTGTTTGTAGAGGCATATATTTTGGAAGTTAGCAGCTAAATGTTCCTCCAGTTTAAAATTGCAGAAACAACTAGAAGTTCCTACAGTCATTTGCAAGGCTCCTGGGAATTCTTTATGGCAGAATCGGAGGGGGATAACTGAAGGTGTTGTCATGCTCTTCCTATGTCATCATGTGTTAAAAGAATGCTTATGTATTCAACAGAGGCTGTGCTCGAGGCTGATCCAGAGTTTAGCCATGAAAACCGGTATTTCCAGAGCCAAAATGAAAGATATGAAACTGCTATCAGAAAATCTGTTTACCTCTCCCAAAAGATGGCTAAAATGGGATGGACTGCAAATAGCCCAGAACAGTACTGCTGCTTTAAGTATGTAATTTTAATTCTGTAGTATTTTTTTTTCTAAATCACTGAGTTCAGAAACACATTGTATTCCTTAACAGATTTGGACTGCTGCAATTGTAACATGTTAGAAGCCACGTGACCTACTGAAAGCACTAGGGTAGGGGTAGTCAACCTTGGCTCTTTTATGACTCGTGGACTTCAACTCCCAGAATTCCTGAGCCAGCCATGGCTCAGGAATTCTGGGAGTTGAAGTCCACGAGTCATAAAAGAGCCAAAGTTGCCTACCCCTGCACTAGGGCTTACATGCCTAGGATAGCAATGTAAACTTAATTACATTACTGGAAGCAATTAGGTATTAATTTTGCTTTTTGTTCTGAATATTATCTTGGAGGCTGTGTGCAGGGATAATGAGAGGGGCAGATGCTATTTTCGAAAAGGGTTAACAATAGGATTCAAATATTAGTTCTGCTTTAACACAAGACAATTAGCATGTAGACAGCAAGTCTGGCTCTTAACTGACAGAGTCTTATGATTGTTTTTTCAACAATTCCAAATACTTTACCTCAATACATTACACCCCTTTCCCCTAGATAGTTCATAAGGTCATATGTTGAACATAGTCCCTTAAATACATTGGTGGCCTTTTCGCCTGTTCCGAACGCCTCAAAACTGCTGGAGGCCCCTGGTCTGTCAGCTCGCCTGCCAGGCTTGGAAGACCAGGGCTATGGGACCCATCCATCACTGGTAGACTCGAGTCTCTGTGGCTGGGCTGTCCTGATATTAACAAGATTTATCAAGTGGTTTGGGTTATGATTTTTAGAAAGGAGAAAACAACATCTAGAAATAGATCTCATTTATGGAGCCTAAACAAAATTGCTCCACTGAACTTTTAAACATCTGCCCTCTCACTGTCTACTTATGAATTGTATATTGAATACATGTTTGTGAGTCACTGTTAGGGGATATAATGGCAACTGTGTTTTTGCAGGTTTCTTTCTGAAGATTTGGCATTTAACCTACACATAGTCTTTATAAAGAGCATTTTGGCTTTAGGCACTGATGAACAGATCAACAAATGGATTCCTTTAGCAAATAAGAATTTCATCATAGGGACCTACGCCCAGACTGAATTGGGACATGGTAAGCATTGTTATCCAGATCCCTGATTTCGTAAACTCTAATGCCAAAGATTCATCAAGTGCCATTACTTGACATGAATTGTTTTGCAACACACACATATCCTTCTCTCAACATCCAGGAAGGCTGAAAGAAGCAGGATTTTTTTCAATAGGACTTCTCGTCACTTAAACACGTCCTCTCGTCGTCTCCTTGGCTTTCCAAATCATCTCCACGTTCAGATCTGTCTCCAACTTTCTTCTCCAACCACTTTCTCCAATATTCTCTAATATTCCACAGCGTATTCACTCCTTCTCCGTTTCTCCTAAATCGCCATTTTCTCTTCCTTCCCAGCTGCTTGCTTATCGATCTTCTCCCTTCGCTTCTCTCGTCCCACCGACTCCACCAACTCTGCTTTCGCCGCTGTCTCTCAATCTCTTCTTCCTTAATCCTCCATTGTCTTCCTCGTACTTGCGCTAAAACATTTACCACAAGGTCTTTCCTTCCTTTATGTCTCCCTCCTGTTAAGCCTCTGGTTGTTAAATCTGCCAACTCACAGCTCTTCCCGCCGGATCGCCGCTTACATTGAGGATTCCCTCACCAGTTGAGCTTCTTTTCAACACTCACACTAACAGACAAGTAGATCTTTTTAGACTTTTCTATTATTCCTTAAAGATATTTTGAACTATTTTAACTCACTCATTAACACAGTCTGTTAAGTTTCTCTTTGCTTCCGCATCCTCTGTGGTTTGTCAGGGCCTCAGATCCACCATCTGTTGATGGCAGATATTTCCACGCTGGATTTAGGGGGTTTCCTTTGTCGTAGCGGGTGATCGCCTCTCACCTTGCTACTCTTCCAGTTTCACCCTTTCTCATGCGTAGCCCTCCAGGCTCTCTACGCCCCCAAAGGGTCTCCAATCGTAGAAAGATCAGAGTTAGGGGACAGACTGTCCTCTTGCCTCCGCACCGCCTTAATGTCACCACTGGAAGTCTCAATAGGACTTCTATTGGGTCCTACTGAATAGCAAGAGGACAGGAGAAAGTGCTCCATTTTTGTGGCATCTTCAGCTGAGTGCTTTTTCTTGTTTTCACATACACAACAAGGTTGACCTAAATGCAAATCAAATGCTCTAATATCTAAGTTGTTTACTGAAATTTTGTGGAAGAGACTCTAAGCATAATGCTTAGTGGTTCTGTAATGGAAAGTAGGAGAGTAGCAGCCAAATAAATTATTTGATCCACACATCTTAATGTTACCAAGGTTTTACTGAAAGTGTTAAAGATGGACTTGGAGCTGGGATCCATTTCCTTGGGCTGAGTAAACTTTTAAGAATAATAGCAACAATTTCACCCCATCATCCCTATCACATTTCATCCATTCCTGACTTGGAGGATGCTGTAAAATTTGTTTTTGCATATTTTCAGCATGCAGTACTTCCATCTGTCAAGGTAAATCTGTTTCTCAAGAGGGCCTACTGGTTAGTGCTTGTGATATCACATTTATGCTATATAGTCTTCACTGCAAATTTTGCCCCAGGTTTTTATATTATTATTTAAATGTTATATAGCAGACAATATAGATGCAGATATCTGGCTGTGTGCACTGTTTTAATTTTTTTTGTTTTAAATGAAGCAGAAATGTATTTATGCTTGCTTAACTGATTAAACAAGTGCCGCCTTTTGTTGGGAGTAATAACTAACAGGAACAGTAATAAAGTCTATCATAGCGTGACTATTAGTAGAATGTTACCTCTCGATTAACCTTCAGTAGCTACAGAAATATCTTGATCTGATTTTTGAACCTCATTTTTTACCATTTATTTCACCAATTTAAATACAGAAACATAGAAAACTGACAGCAGAAAAAGACCTAGTGGTCCATCAAATCTGCCTTTGAGGGGTTTTTTTTTTTAGAGAAGCTCTTGTTCATATGACCATTTTTCATTGGTTTTCATTTATGATTTTCTCCATTGTTGTATGGCCACTTCTCTTGTCAAATAGTATCCCATCATCATCATCATCACCATCATCATCATTCTTCACAATCAATTGCAAAGCAAATTGCATACAGAAAAATAGTTATACAGATAGAATGTAAAGACTAAAGAAATAAATATTCATAACCTTCATTCTTCCAGCCAGTTGGCTATAAGCACTTGAGAATAACCCAGTGCTTAGATAAAGAGGCTTAGCAATTGACCAAACCAATACAAAGTCTAATGTATATATAAAGTATTTCTACATTCTGGACTCTACCACAGCAGACCTTTTGCTTAGTTAACTTTTAGTACAAAGTTCAGTTCTCTTGTCCTTTACAGTCACTGAGCAGTATGAGGCAGTGTCTATCAACAAAAAATGAGAGCAGAGTGCTTTCTCCAACTATTTATTATGTTTGGTCCCTAAGAAACCTGGGGCCTTATAATAAGTCCATCTCGATAGGCACCCAGCCTATCCACCCAGGCACCTAGGCACCCAGAATAGGTGCAGAATAATGCTGATTTTGTCATAAAGGTTCAAACTGATCTTTAGGTCAGAGCTGTGGTTAAGCTTTTAGGCAAATTCAACCAGACAGTGATTTTATGATTTTGTATAGATGTTTTAGAAACCTCATATTTATTGGTGTGCATGTGTATGTTTTTTAACAATTAAACTAGAAGTCCAGGCGAAATGAAATTGTTACTCAATGAGTTCTTATACCGAACTCAGCTCTCATGTTAGGAAATATAGAATATGTCTAAAATATTGCAACCTTACTTTTAACTGAGATCTTTGCAGAGTTGGAATTTGCTCACAACAAGAGAAACTTTGCATAAATTTCATTCCTGAGGAAAGACCAGCTAGGGTTGCTAAATCTTGCTAGCAAATGTCTATGGGGACTCATCCAGGTCATGGTTGTCCCAAAAGTGCTTTTTCAAAAGGCAACTGAACTTTGAAAATGCACTTTTGGGACTTGTTAGCAAATATTCAATCAAGTTGTCTGGTATGCCGAAAACTCTTTTATCTTTTTGTTGCAAAGGATCTAATCTTCGGGGCTTGGAGTCCACAGCCACATTTGATGTGGCCACTCAGGAATTTATCCTAAACACGCCAAGCGTCTCTTCCATGAAATGGTGGCCAGGAGACTGTAAGTACCAAGCACACTGATGAATTGGATCAAAATGGAAGGAAATGCTAGACTCATTTCTTCTTTTGCTTCCCTCCAGCCTTTAAGATGATTTAGTGTGAAGGCTAGAACTTTCTTAGTGGAATCATTGTTCACTGAACACATTCCAAAATCAGAGAGGAGTAAGCATGATTACTCCTTTAATACCACTTTAATACACTTTATACCACCTTGGTAAGGCCACACTTGGAATACTACATCCAGTTTTGATCACCACAATGTAAAAAAGATGTTGAGACTCTAGAAAGAGTACAGAGAAGAGCAATAAAAATGATTAGGGGACTGGAGGCTAAAACATATAAGGAACGGTTGCTGGAATTGGGAATGCCTAGTCTAATGAAGAGAAGGATGAAGGGTGACATGATATCCAATATCTCAGGGGCTGCTACAAAGAAGAGGGAGTCAAGCTATTCTCCAAAGCACCTGAAGGCAGGACAAGAAGCAATGGATGGAAACTAATCAAGGAGAGAAGCAACCTAGAACTAAGGAGAAACTTCCTGACAGTTAGAACAATTAATCAGTGGAACAACCTGCCTCCAGAAGTTGTGAATGCTCCAACACTGGAAGTTTTTAAGAAAAGACTGGACAACCATTTGTCTGAAATGGTATAGGTTACCTGCCTGAGCAGGGGTTGGACTAGAAGACCTCCAAGGTCCCTTCCAACTATTATTATTGTTGTTGTTGTTGTTGTTGTTATCTGTTCAAGTCAGTTTCAAGTGTTTGTGTCTTGTCTTCTTTATGACAACTTTAACAATTAAATTGAATAGTTAGTAAGATTATATAGTAAGATCTGGATATTCTAGTTTATTTTTAACCAAATGATAACTTATTTTCTTCCCATCTTCTTGCAGTGGGCCGAACTGCAACTCATGCTGTGTTTTTTGCTCAGCTTTATCTGAAAGGACATTGTTATGGCATGCATCCATTCATCGTACAAATCCGCAGTCTCAGAGATCATTCTCCAGGTCAAGGTAATGTTTTTATGAAGCTCTTGAGAAGTGTAAGCTACGAGTCTTTCCATTCTCCGACACACTGGAAGAAGAAGAAGAAGCCACACTTAACCAAAGAATGCTAAATTTTCTTTTTGATCTCTCTAGAATCTTCCTAGATATCAATGTAAGAATAGTCTTACATTGGTCCTAGGTCTTTGTCCCTTTTCTGAAGACAGAGTCAAGATATGCTCTCCTTCAGACATCTTCACAATTTCTCCTGGATTTTTCATGGGTTTGGCCATACCACTGACTAATTCCTTGTGCAATAGAAGATTTCCATTTTATGAAATGATGTTACTCATTGCTTTTTTTATTCCTCAGGAATAACTTTAGGGGATATAGGTCCCAAAATGGGCTTTGAGAATGTTGACAATGGCTTTCTCATCCTGAAGAATGTTCGTGTTCCAAGAGAAAACATGCTGGCCAAATTCTCTCAGGTATAGACAGATAATTCTCATGTATTCAAAATCAGTACCAAAGATCATAGAATTCTGATACCTGGTTCAGATTTTTGACAGAATGTTAGTAAATCTTCCTCTCCTCTCCCCTCCCCTCCCCTCCTTGCTTTGAAAGCTGTAAAAAGTTGAGCCCTGCATACCCTACCTACTATTACTACTAGTATTATTGTTTGCACAATTGGCCAAATGTTTGGACTGGATGTGGCATCTTTATCCACCTATCAAGTCCTTCCCAAGGACCTGGGCTAGGCATGTGGTTGTTTGATAGTGTTAAAGGCATTGTTTCAGGAGTAAGCTGTTCCCAGCAAAGCTACCTTTTGCAATTGACTGATGGTGATCTTGTTAATGATGAAAGTGTTCAAGTAGTGCTCCAGAGGTTTTGGGATTTGCACCCAAGGTGCTTATTATTATTGGTACTATCTTTGCTTTCTCTTGCCACAGTCATTCTACTTCTACTTACAGGTCTTTGCATTTTGTTATTTTCTCCAGTTCTTTTGGAGTCAATCACCAACTAAATGTATACCACTACAGTACCACACTCAGTCTAGACCAGTGTTTCTCAACCTTGACAATTTTAAGGCATGTGGACTTCAACTTCCAGAATTCCACAGCCAGCATTACTGGCTGTGGAATTCTGGGAGTTGAAGTCCACATGCCTTAAAATTGTCAAGGTTGAGAAACACTGGTCTAGACGGCATCCTGTCAGCCCAGGAATATTTTGTGAAAGAACTAGTTTTGATTTTCTTTTTAAACATAAATTTAAAAAGAGCACTCAAATCACTCAGCTTTTGTAATGAATTTTTCTTTTTAGTGTTATTTTGGGGGAGGGTCCCAAAGGTGCTTTTTCAAAAGGCAACTGGACTTTGTTTTTCCTTGAAGACATTTCGCTTCTCCAGAACCTTCTCGGATGAGAAGCAAAACATCTTCAAGGAAAAACAAAGTCCAGTTGCCTTTCAAAAAAGCACTTTTGGGACAACCATAACCTGCATGACTGAGAATCTCCATAGACATTTGTGTGTGTGTGGGGGGGGTTACTCTCTGGCCCAAGTACATTTTGGTTCACATTAAATATACCACAGTTCACCCATAACTTTCATATAGGACAGTGGTTCTCAACCTTTTTAATGCCGCGACCCCCAACTGGTCGTAAGTCGAGGACTAAACCGGTTGTAAGTCGAGGACTAAACCGGTCGTAAGTCGAGGACTTTCCCTGCCCGGGAGCACCGCGCATGTGTGGTTCCGCCCCCTGCGCCGGCCGAGGCGTAGCTGGCAAGCGGCAGAGACAGAGCAGGCCGACCACCAGCTGGCCCAGCCCAAGGGAGGTAAGGCACCCGCCGGAAAAGGGGGAAAAATGGCGGACAGCCTTGCTTGGCGACCCCCGTGAAATGGTCAATCGACCCCAAATGGGGTCATGACCCATAGGTTGAGAACCGCTGATATAGGATGAAGAAGCAAAATTGGCCCGTATTTGCTTCTTAGCAGCAGTCTTCACTGGCAACATTGCACTTTCTTTCTCATACTCACCAAAATATGCAGGATTTAAGAATAAATTTTGTAAATTATTTTAAGTTTTTCTTAATGTCTATCAGCTCATTCCCCAGTACTTTTGCCTTTAAAATTAAAAAAAAAATCTGATCTTCCAGGTTCTACCAGATGGTCAGTATAAGAAACAAGGATCTGACAAGATCAACTATTTGACTATGATTGTGGTTCGGGTGAACATGCTTCAGGGTTCAATTATCCCCTGTCTGATGAAGGCTTGTACCATTGCTATCCGATACTCCGTGGTGCGTCGGCAATCTGAGCTAAAGCCAGGGTATGATATGAAAAGAGGGAAATGCTTCTGTCTGGAAGCTTAATTTCCCATAGATATACACACACATAATGCTATTCTCTTTTTACAATATTGTTTTCGATTTTGGGCAGGGATAAAGAATTGGTAGTATTCCGTATGTTGATGGGCTACAATTTCCAGCACCTATTCTGAACTCTGGTGTGTACATATTATACTTCTATTCAAGCATGGAAAAATTATTTTAGAAATATGTTTTGGGATTCATATACTGCACAATCTGATTTTCCCATGGATGCCATAGGCACAACTCAGCTTCCTCAACTTCGTTCTATGTTGCTACCAAAGAAATGTTTTCCACGATATATTAGCATAAATCCAGGAAATCACCTGGAGTTTATAATTTAACTGGGTTTATTCAATTCAATCAATATTGGTGGGTTCTGTTATTAGCTGATTTATATATCCAGGAAATAATTTTTGATATGATTGTTTCTGATTGAAACAAAGCAGTTATTCTTATTTTAAAACAGGTCAAAGTCAATGAGCCAGGCAACTATAAATATAATTTTCTGTCAATCATGGGAATAACAGCTTCAATTTCTTTTTAGAAAGAGATGTAGTCACTGACTGTTAAGCAACATTTGGAGAAAAATCATATGAAGTGTTAGTACCACGTTATAAGGCCTTGGTAAGACCACACCTGGAATACTCTATCCAGTTTTGGTCACCATAATATAAAAAAGATGTTGAGGCTCTGGAAAGAGTGCAGAGAAGAGCAGTTAAGATGATTAGGGGACTGGAGGCTAAAACATATGAAGAACTGTTGCAGGAATTGGATATGTCTAATCTAGTGAAAAGAAGGAATGGGGTGTCATGATAGTGTTCCTATATTTGAGGGGCTGACACAAAGAAGAGGGAGTCAACTTATTTTCCAAAGCACCAGAAAGCAAGGCAAGAAGCAATGGATGGAAACTAACCAAGAAGAGAAGCAACCTAGAACTAAGAACAAATGTATTGACAGTGAGAACAATCCATCAGTGGAACAGCTTGTCTTCAGAAGCTGTGGGTGCTCCACAATGCAACATTTGATTCTATTGCTATGGATGTATAAACTGGAAAATATACAGGTAGTCTTCAACTTACGACCACAATGGAGCCCAAAATATATGTTGCTAAGTGAGAAAATTGTTAAGTGTTAATTTTGCCCCATTTTACTACTTTTCTTGCCACATTTGTTAAGTGAACCACTGCAGTTGTTAAATTTAACATGGTGGTTAACAACGTGCTTTCCACGTTGACTTTGCTTGTCAGAAGGTCGCAAAAGAGGATCACATGACTCTGGGACACTACAACTGTCATAAATGTGAGTCAGTTGTCAAGCGTCCGAATGTAAATCACGTGACATCGGGATGCTGCGATGGTCATAAGTGTGAAAAATGGCCATTAGGTCACTATTTTCAGTGCTATTGTAAACTTCAAACGGTCACTAAACGAACTGTTGTAAGTTGAGGACTACCTGTACTGATAAAAGGCTGCTTTATCTTATTATTAATGCCTTTTGTAGCAATACCCTGTTTCAGTTCAGATTTGATTCTGCAGGACAACAGTTTGCTATTTCCATGTCTAGGAGGGGTTAGGTAAAAATACGTTTTCCTAGCTCTTATTTTGTATCAATATATCCCACACCTTTATTATACTTTGTGTGTGTGTGTGTGTGTGTGTATATATATATATATATATATAAATAACACCTTTATTATATTGATAAATAATTCAAGGCAGTGAATGTTTTAATACTCCTTTCTTCTCCTATTTTTTCCACACAACATCCTTGTGAAGTGAGTTGGGCTCAGAGTGAGTGACTGGCCCAAGTCATCCAGCTGGTTTTGCATGCCTAAGAACTAGAACTCACCGTCTCCTGGTTTCTAGCCTGGTGCCTTAACCACTACACCAAACTGGCTATCTGGGATGGGGCAAGTCTCTCGGAGGATCAAACCCATGGCCAGCATGTCTTAGAAGATGCTGAGATTTTTGTGGTTTGCACTAGCTTGGCTAATGGGGGCCAAAGGTGTAATCAAGTGAAAGCAGGAAGCTACTTCTATTGTGAAGGTACTTTGAAGATATGTGGGCAACATTGCCAGTCATTGTGGTTAAACAATATTTTCTTTTCTTCAGTGATCCAGAGGCTAAAGTTTTGGACTATCAGACTCAGCAGCAGAAGCTTTTTCCCCAGCTGGCTACTGCATATGCCTTTCACTTTGTCTGCAACTATCTGCAGGACATTTTCAACAGATGCTACATACAGACCAATGAAAGAAACTTTGACTTGCTTCCAGAGGTAATGTGAAAGAGACATAGAGCATCTTTTCATGTATTTAGAAAACCTTTGGCCCCTTTCATCAGTCAGAAAAATTATTCCTCAGATATCCCTTCAGAAAAAAATATCTCTTCGGTACAAATCACTCACAAGTCAGTTGCTGTTGAATTGGAGTGTGAGCTCTGTCCTATGTTTTGAGAATCCAAGTAAGGATGCTTGGAATATTGTATATGACTATAAAATAGAAAACCCTACATACTCCAAACTCTTATGCAGGCACTGTACTCAGACTCTGGTAGCAATTCCTGTTATTAAGAATAGGTTCAAGATAGGTGTTCTTTATAGATTTTACAGATGTCATTATATCTAAAAATGAAAATAGGGAACAGTATGTTTCTATACAGTCTGCATTTATCAAGCTTAGGCATTTACTTAATTTAGTATCATTATAATATAATAATAAAGTTGGAAGAGACCTTGGAGGTCATCTAGTTCAACCCCCTGCTTAGCCAGGAAACCCTATACCATTTTGGACAAATGGCTGTCCAGTCTCTTCTTAAAAACGTCCAGTGTTGGAGCATTCACCGCTTCTGGAGGCAGGTTGTTCCACTGGTTAATTGTTCTAACTGTCAGGAAGTTTCTCCTTAGTTCTAGATTGCTTCTCTCTTTGGTTAGTTTCCATCCATTGCTTCTTGTCCTGCCTTCAGGCGCTTTGAAGAATAGCTTGACTCCCTCTTCTTTGGGGCAGCCCCTGAGATACTGGAACACTGCTATCGTGTCCCCCCTCGTCCTTCTCTTCGTTAAACTAGACATACCCAATTCCTGCAATCGTTCCTTATATGTTTTAGCCTCCAATCCTCTAATCATCTTTGTTGCTCTTCTCTGTACTCTTTCTAGAGTCTCAACATCTTTTTTACATCGTGGTGACCAAAGCTGGATGCAATAGTCCAAGTGTGGCCTTACCAAGGCATTGTAAAGTGGTATTGATATTTCACGTGTTTAGTTCCGTATATACATACAGGTTATCACTGTAACATCTACATCAATGTTTCTCAAACTTGGCAACTTTAAGATGTTCTGGTTGTCTGGAGAATTCTGGGAGTTGAATTCCACACATCTTAAAGCTGCCAAGTTTGAGCAACACTGATTTTGAATTTTTAACTGGAATGTCATTTTTTATTATTTGCTGTACTTCGCTAATAAAATGAATTTTAAAAACAATCCAAAAGGATAGTTTCAGGGGGAATGTGATTGGAGCTTTTCCCTTGTTTAAAACAGAAGACTTTGGTTCGATAGACAGTTGTGGTTTTAAGAGATACTTGTGCATTGGCTTGCTTTACAACCACAAAACAAAGGCTTCGGACATGGTCCAAGTAATGTTAAGAGCTTTTAAATCTGTTGTCCAATATGGGTGCTGTTATTAATAGCAGTAATGCTTTTTTAATAGATGCAATATTGATTTAAGATGGTAGAGAGCTTTTTAAGGGTGTGCTTAACTCTCTCCAGTATGAATCAGTGGGATTTGGTCCAATTACTAGTAAGCATTTATTGCCTACATTTGAGTGAATAAAGTCTTTTCCAAGCTGATGTCCTCCAGATGTGTGAGTTATTCCAATAGGAGGTTCTCAGACTTACTATGCAAGACTTTTGAAGGCTAGATAAAACTAACCCAAGGAGGTTTTATTTATTTATACTGTACTTGTTCCCTTCCCCAAATCCCTGGTTTGAATCAACCATATGAGCTATGAATATAAAATGTAAACCCTCGTAAATGTACATTTCTGACTGAGAAAAGGTATACCAAATGAGGTGTGTTTGCTTATTCATTTATTTTTCATATTCGCTGTTGAACTATTGAAGTTATATATCAGTGGTGGCGAACCTATGGCACGTGTGCCATAGGCAGCACTCAGAGCCCTCTCTGTGGGCATGCGTGCCATGCCCCAGAGATGGCAACCATCCCTCTTCAACCAACCGCCCGCTAACTTGCCAAGGTCCCATGTGGCCGGATGCATCCCAGCATGGCTGGTTTTCCTCCCCCCCTGTCCTGTCCCTCCTGGCTCATATGCTCCCCTTTTTCCGGGCACAACCCACTGCATCGCCTCTTCAGCTGTCGGTCGGCCGGCCGGCCAGCTCAGAGGCAGCTTCTCTGAACTGCTGGCAGTGGGCTGTGGAGCCCCAGAGTGCGCCAGTCGAGGGGCTGGCAGGCTGTGGCTGCTGATGGACACTGTCGGCCCCCATGCGCTCACTGGCCTCTGTGTGCGGGGGCCAATGATGTCAGGCAGCAGCCGCCCTGGCCCCTGCCTCGCCTTGCCCTGTGACAATGGCACCTCCACCGTGCCTCGCCTCGCCTCGCCTCGCCTTGCCTCGCCTCACCTCACCCCACAGGATGAGTCTCCTGTCCACCGCCCCACCTGCCAGAGACCCCCTGGATCTCCCCCAACCTTGCCCGTCTCCCACAGGCATCCCTCCCCACGAGCAACATCGAGGTGACCACACCCACCTTGGCCACACCCACCCAGTCTGCCATGATCACCATAGCCACACCCACCCAGTGGGCCATGCCCACCTGGCACCCAGCGATAAGTGGGTTTTGGGTTGCAGTTTGGGCACTCGGTCTCTAAAAGGTTCACCATCACTGTTATATATCTTTTAAAAAATGCTTTGAATCAGTGTTTACTCCTGGTACCTTCATGGACAAATCCCTGCAGTTTTCTTGGCAAGTGACTTGTGATTGCCTCCTTCTTAAGCCTGAGAGAGAAGGACTGGCCCAAGGTCAGCCAGCTGGCTTCATGCCTAAATTACAACTCATGATCACCCAGTTCTACTCTGATGAATTCGCCACTATCTCAAACCATCTTACTCTTTTAATTTCTGCCACATTCACAGCTTCACGCCCTGGCAGCAGGCATAAAAGTGATCACTACCAACTATTGCTCAGAAGGAGTGGAGGTGTGTCGAAAGGCTTGTGGGGGACATGGCTACTCTCTTCTCAGTGGCTTGCCTTCCCTTTATATGAAAGTGATCCCGTCTTGTACTTACGAGGGAGAAAATACTGTTCTTCTGCTGCAAACAGCCAGGTAACTTCAGTGGAAAAAATTTTATCTTTCAAGCCTTGTGTCAACGCTGCAAATACTGTATATTCTTGCTTTGACAATGTGCAGAACTGTCTGGTATTTATATAGTTAAACCAGCAACCAGGAAAGAGGGAGGAGCATAAGGATAGCCCCGGAGAAAGAAACCGGAAGTAAATCACATCTTCCAAGTTGATTGGAAGATGTGAACCATGACCCTACAATAAGGGAGTGGAAATGTTTGGAATGTTATCCATACGGAAGAGAAGCAGATCTAAGCATTCCTCCATGTTGTGCTGACGTATCTGTAACATTAATAAATGCTTTTAGGAGAAAATATGCCTGAAAGTCCTTTTTAGTGTTTCGTTAATCAGACGTATGACACCTTGCTAGAAACATCTAGAGATTTCAGAAGCTTTTCCAGAATACCTTTTACAAGCACTTCTACAGCTTTTTTCTAAAACGAGTGGTCTTTAGCAATCAAAGTTTTTATTGTCCAGCACTTCCATATTATGAAAGGGATTCCAAAATGCTGCAGGGAAAATTTTTCACGTTGGCTCCAGCTATCTTATGAAACAGAATATCCAAGAATATTCCAACTTCTTAGGAGACAAAGCTGCAAGAATACTTGAATTACAGCTTTTGTGAGAAAAGGAAAAAAATTGGCTGGACTGAGTGTCTCCCCCAGGTTCCAGAAAATAATACTTTTTTCCTTTCTTTTTATTGTTGTGGTTATCTTTAAAGCAGGGCTTTTCAACCAGTGGTATGGGTACCACCTGTGGTACATAGGCACCTGGCAGGTGGTACGCGACCATCCCAGAAAAGTAGTAACGGGGGAGGGGAATGAACTGAACCGGTGGCAGCACCGCACAAGCCTGAGCAAGAGATGGCTGGAGCTGCAGGGCTGTCAGGGCTCCGCGGAAGTGCCAGGATCAGCGCCAGGCTCCAGCTGGAGCTCAGCACTGATCCTGGCGCTTCTGCTGAGCCCAGAAGAAGCACCGATCAGCTGGAATGTTGCAGCATCTCCAGGGTCTTGTGATTTACATTCAGATGCTTGGCAACTGATTCATATTTATGATGGTCACAGTGTCCCAGGGTCTTGTGAAGTGACCAAAACCTGCTGCAACCACCCAGCAGACGGGGGAAATAAAAACCAAACACCCCCCCACCCCACCCCCGCTGCCAATCCTCAACAGAAATGCTCACAACAATGAAAACCTCAAGACAGGAGGAAGAGCGCTGCCGGGCGGGCAGGCAGGTGTCTTGCTCAGCTGTGGCTTGGGGGGGCACTTTTTCAGTGCCATTGTAACTTCGAACAGTCACTAAACGAACTGTTGTAAGTCGAGGACTACCTGTACTTTATCACTTTTTTCCTTTTTTTGGGGGGGTCATCAGGTTTTTGACACCTTGCTAGGCGACTGGTAGTACTCGGATGTTGCCATATCCTAAAAGTGGTACAATGGGTGAAAAGGTTGAAAAGCCCTGCTTTAAAGGGACAGGGTTGAACTAAGGAGTTAAGGAAATGTAGTAGTGTGGCATTCATAAGGAAACAGGGCAAATAGTGTAAGCACAGATTACCTACATAGTAAAGATCTTTTCTGTATTCTGATGTCCTAAAGTTATCTTTTTTGCATGCCTATTGTTTATCTCTGAAAATAATTGTCACGATTCAAATAATCTTAGGATGTGTCTTGGTTTTCGTTTTTCTTCTTTATGTTTAGATTTCTTATAAAATGCTATGGAATGGCACAAAATGGCCAGCCACTTCCTTCATCAGTTGCCTACTTTTCTTCGGTGAATTTTGGAAAATGTCAAGCCCGGGAAAAAAGGGATTTCCTAAATCCTGATATTTACACAGATGCCTATAAGTATCGAGCCTTCAGGTTGGTATAAAGCAGGGGTAGGCAACCTCGGCTCTTTGATGACTCATGGACTTCAACTCCCAGAATTCCTGAGTCAGCTATGCTGAGGTTGCCTACCCCTGGTATAAAGAAACTGGAATAGAATTTGATATACAGATAGTCTTTGACTTACAACCGCAACGGAGATCAGAATTTCTATTGCTAAGTGAATTCCACCACATTTTATGAGTTTTTTACATAGTCTTTAAGCAAGTCACTGCAATTGTTAAGTGAATCATGCAGTCATTAAGCAAATTTGCCTTCCCCCATTGACTTTTCCTGTCAGAAGTCGGCTGGGGAAAGTCGCAAATGGCGCAGCTATTGTGCAACTGTTGTAAATACATTCCAGATAACAAGACCTGAATTTTGATAACATAATCTTAGGGATAGTGTGATGCTTGGTCTGTGCAAGAACCAGTTATAAGACACTTTTTAAGTGCTGTTGTAACTTCAAACTGTCACTAAGCGAATGTTGTTAGTCGAGGACTACATGTATTACATCCCAATCCATAGGTTGGATGGTAAAAGATCAGAGAAAATTAAAGACGAGGCAGAAGACTTTGCCCTAAGGTCTTATGTCTTAGTAGAAGCTTCTTCCCAGAATTCATATGTTTTTCAGTTGGTTCCCCTAATTCTCAGGATTAAACAAGTTGATCGTACGAATATAACAATAGCAGGAGAAAATCTGTGTTCCTACTAAAAGTTGACACCAACTAATGGCACATAATCACTAAAAAAAATTAACACTCATTATTCAGTCCTGCACAGATGAAGGAAGTTCTTCATCTCCAAAGGAAGAATAAATAGGGGGAGGGATTCAAAAATAGAAATCTTGTGTAAAATTCAGTTTCCTACCTTGTCCATTTAAGGATGCCAACTGCAGCTAAAACCGCACTGAAGATATTGCATGCATGCTTCTGTCCATTGTCCCATTCAAGTCAAATGTTAACTACTGACTAAAAAGAACTCCTTGTAAATTAAGATCTCCCTTTATAAAATTAAGTGATTTACCCCATCACTCATCACTTTACCTCATAAACAAGAATGCACACAAATTCTCATGGTCATGCATGCAGTTTCCTCTCTCCTAATAAAACTGCAAAAACAAAAACAAAATAGAGATGGGATGAGGGACAGGTATGGTACAGTAGGGAGAGGGAACTGGATGGAAGGCGAGGAGGAGGAGGAGGAGATGATGATGATGATGATGATGATGATGATGATGATGATGATGATGATGATGATGATGATGATGATGATGATACTTTTAGCAAACAGATTCCATGCAGGCCTGATTTCCTAGCCAAGTAAATGGAATCAAAGACTCAAGATTTATTTATTTTTTAATAATTTTTATTATTTAAACCGACAAACAAAACAAAACAAAACATAGTACACATATATACACAATATATATTTTAACATCAACTTCGTAACAGTAATCTTCTATTTATTTACATTTTCCCCCTTATTCTTCTTTAGAGTATTTATCCTTATTGCCCCATTATTTCAGACTCAAGATTTTTTAGCAGGACTGTTTACAGTCACTTTCATCTTCTGCTGATTCTGCTGATTCTTGTTTCTAGCAATCTCTGTTTTCAAAATGATGCTCCTGTCTCATTCATAAATAATTGGTTTGAAGAGGATTCTGTTTAACTTATTTTCCGGGAAGGCCGCTGGATAAAATATTTTTAAATCCCATGACTTTGTCTTCAGGACTGTTGATGAAACACCTCAACTGATACCCATAGCATCATAATCATCTCAGCTGATTAACACTTGAACCAAATATTCACATAGTCAGAGCTTTACACAGATGGTACAGAAAAACAACCCGTATTGAAACGTAATCATTTTATAAACATCAAGTAGAACCTGAGATTTCCATGTATCATAATGGGCCTAAAGTTGCAATGTGGTCTTTGGTTGGTGTATTGAATTGTTTTTGATTTGCAATGAGAGTTATTTTATAAATCACAGTGTTCGGAAAACGCTTTTATTTGCAATTGTTCATTCCAGAATTCCACCCTCCCATGTCATTGCATGGGTCAGTCCCCATCTTCTGCCATTATTAAAGAGTATTTTTAGAAATGAGGTAATCAGTTATAAATATTAGTTGAACATGTTGACATGTCAATATTTATTCTTCTCAGGGATGTAAGAAATGTGGCAATCAAGCTTCAGCAGTTGGTTCAGGAAGGAAAAGGACAACATGAAGCCTGGAACCAGTGCACTGTGCAACTAGCCAAAGCTGCGATGGTTGGTAACTGCTTTGTGCTTTTCCCTAATCAGTTATTTTGCCAGGAACTGAGAATCCACCATTTAAATTAGGCTCAGGCAATGAAGCCAAGGAAAATGAGACCCTTCACACTTTGCAAAACCACCTTTTGTGTAGGAAGAATGGAAGGGAAAATGGCATTGACTTTTTAAGCTTTGTCAAGGTGTGCCAGGTTTTTTCCAATGTGCCATGTCTTAAACCTATTTTTAAAATGACTTTTTAAAGAAGACTAATTTTTGATGACATATTTTGGGTCAAAAATTATTTTAAAAAGTACTTTTTAAAATAATTTTGACCCAAAATATGTCATTAAAAATTAGATATATATTGGTTGAGTCAGGTTCTATGCAGTTAGTGGGCTTTGGACTTATACGTTCTACATCCTATCACTAGCATTCCCATACAATTTTTTATAATATACCTAGCATTCCATAATTCAAGTTTCATCTAGAGCAGGCATGTCAAACTCACGACGTCATGTCACGTCGCGCAACGTATCGGAGCTTTTCCGCCATTGCCGGCAATAGGGTGGGCGCGGCTCCGGTATGATGAAACCAGACCGTGGGCCGGCAGTTTGACACCCCTGATCTAGAGACACAAACATGAAGCAGGAACATGATTCAAGAGCTGAATAGCCAAAATGATTGATAAGCTTCCACTGAATCCTGATTTACTGATTTCTGAAGCTGACAATCCTGAAGCACAGGCTTAGCTGGAGTAGCATTGTCATATTCTAGGTCAAAGTCAGACTGTGAATCATGACTTATAACAATTGTCAAATTTGGGGGGGGGGGGCAGCAGGATTAGAAGAATAGAGTCCTAGCTTACAGTAAGCAGCTGTTGGTGCTAGCTGTTTCCTGCATGGTCCACCAATTAGTTCTGTCTTAAGTTTTCTGTTGACTTTCCTTTTTTGTAGTGATCTCTCAGGCCATTCATTTGGATCTGTTGTATCTTCTCTGAGGAATTAGGTCAGACATGTCAAACTCGGGACAGTTTTGCCATTGCCGGCAATGGGGTGGGCGAGGCTTCCGCGTGACGTGTCCGGCAAAATTGACACCTCTGAATTAGGTGAATGTAAATTCAAAATGGTGGACACAATTACTTAGATTAATGCTGCTCAATAAGCCCTACTACTAAAAACATGGGGATTTGTCTAGAGACATCCACTTCCAACCTCAAATTAACCACATATGAAGGAAGAGTATACCAGTTTGGAGAAACATGCCTTTCAGATGTAGATCCCAGATATGTGAAAAACTTTCCAGACAAATTTTCTGATCCCAGTTCCTGAAATCACTTTGAGCAGCTATTGCAGATATTGAAATAGAAACCTGTAAGGACCTACCTCAGCTAAGCCACCCAAGAAAGCAGAACTCTTGAAACAGACATTGTCTCAAAAGGAACTTTTATTAGGGGCTAGTGACAGCAGGGAATCAAGGCAAGGTCTGAGAGAAAAACCCGCGAAGCAGTATATTAAAAGCAACATTCAATACTCCTACCCCCAGAGTCCCAGTGTTCATTTGAATCCACAGGTGGCATCGTGTTTTGATAAGTGGTCTTTTCCAAGGGCTCCTCAAGGTCTTTCTCACTTTCGATTTCTTCTGGCTTCAAGCATAAACTGTCTCTCAGATAAGGGCATCCTGCAGATAGTGCAAAGCCATCCCAAAAGCTCCCCCCTCCCAACAGAATGGCAGGCCACAAAGGAAGGCTATAGGAAAGTAGAAAATAGGCATAGGGTTAAAATGCATTTCTTTGGGGACCTGACAAAACCCTACTATGTAGAAGTAGAACCTTTCCAATGAATCTCTTTCCAACCGTCTTTGACAGACAAACTTTTAATATACGTGCAAGTTTATGGTACAAAGATCTGGGATATGACTCTCTCTGTTAACTTTTTCAGGCTCATAGCCATTACATCGTGGTACAAAAATTTACTGAAGAGTTGGGGAAACATGCAAAAGGATCTGCTATCCAGAGGGTCCTCAAAAATCTCTGTGACCTCTTTGCACTACATGGGATTTTCTCTAATGCAGGAGATTTTATGCAGGATGCGTATTTTTCTACAGAGCAAATTGACCGGGTGACTGAAACCTACCTGGACCTCTTGGCAGTCATTCGGTGAGGTGATTTTCTTCTTCACAAAAATGCATTTAATTCCATATTTGGGTGGTGCTCTTGCAAATCTTAACAAACTGCTTAATCTTTGGATGAACAAAAAGGGAGGCTGCCACATTTCAGGGATCCTTCGAGAAGCACTGACATCGTTTTCATATTCTCCATAAGACTGCTTTGCACCTGCTTCTCTATAAAGATTAACCGTATAATGTGCTGTGGCCTAGTAACAGTGACATTTCTGTGGGCACCGAACTCCCTTCTGTGTGAATGAGTGAATATGAAAATGGAGTTAATGTTTACTCGCCATGTCTGAGCAAAAGCCAGTTTGCCCAAGAAGTGTCTATTTTTATATATTTTAATTGTATCCTGCCTTTATTGTTTTTATAAATAGTTCAAGGTGGTGAATATACTTACTGTAATACTCCTTCCCTTTCCAATTTTCCCCACAACAATCCTTGTGGTTGGGATGGGCTGAGAGAGAGTTACTGGCCCAGGGTCACTAGCTGGCTTCCATGCCTAAGGTGGGACTAGAGCAGGGCTTTTCAACCAGTGGTATGGGTACCACCTGTGGTACATTGATACCTGGCAGGTGGTACGAGACCATCCTAGAAAAGTGGTAGCGGGGGAGGGGAATGCGGTGGCAGCACCACACAAGCCTGAGTGAGAGATGGCTGGAGCTGCAGGGCTATCAGGGCTCAGTGGAAGCGCCAAGATCAGCGCCAGGCTCCAGAAGAAGCGCCGATCAGCTGGAATGTTGCAGCATCTCCAGGGTCTTGTGATTTACATTCAGATGCTTGGCAACTGATTTATATTTATGACGGTCACAGTGTCCCAGGGTCTTGTGAAGTGACCAAAACCTGCTGCAACCACCCAGCAAACAGGGAGGAATAAAAATCAAACACCCCCCACCCCACCCCCACTGCCAATACTCAACAGAAATGCTCACAACAATGAAAACCTCGGACAGGAGGAAGAGCGTCACCGGGCAGGCAGGCGTCTTGCTCGGCTGTGGCTTGGGGGGCACTTTTTTCAGTGCCATTGTAACTTCGAACAGTCACTAAGCGAACTGTTGTAAGTCGAAAGCTACCTATACTTTATCACTTTTTTCCTTTTTTTTTGGTCAAGTTTTTGACACCTTGCTAGGCGACTGGTGGTACTTGGATGTTGCCATATCCTAAAAGTGGTACAATGGGTGAAAAGGTTGAAAACCCTGGACTAGAGCACACTGTCTCTGGTTTCTAGCCTGATGCCTTAACCACTAAATCAAACTGGTCTATACCACAATCACTGAGGAACACACTAGGTTCACTCTATATCAGCCTCTTCAAACTTCTGGTTGACTTCGTCATTGAATTTCCTCATGGGAAGCTGGCAGTGAGTGTTGGAAATCTTCCTTCCGTCCTTCCCATCCTCCTCTTTCCTTCCTTCTTCCCTCCCTCCTTTTCTCCTTCCCTTTTCCTTCTTTCCTTCCCTCCCTGTTCCTTCCTTTTCTTCCCTCCCTCCTCTATCCTTCCTTATCTGAACAGAAAAAGAGAAAACTAACTTTCTTCCTTCCCTCTTCTCTCTCTCTCTCCCCCCCCCCAATTAGGCTGCTGCTGGGTGAGGGAGTGACAGATTACGTAAATAGATGGGAAACTGTCACAGAACATTAAAAAAAAGGGATCACATGATCACAGCAGCAGCCCAGCAATGCTGAAGCAGTCACAACTTCCCCAAATTTCATTCCCTCAGGAATAATGAGTCCTGGCATTCTATAAGTTAACCCATTTGAGGTACTGTGCCTTTGTTGACCGAGTTTTGCCCTATGATGCAATCTTTTGCCCAGTTAAAGGTTACAGACAGAAGTGTTTTAGCAGTACATAAATCTTGTTTGACACAGTGAAAATGAATTGGACAAGCAACATCTGTTTGGCAGAGGATAAGACATGTTGATTTTTACAAAGAGCAAAAATGCAGCCTCCATCTAATATGCTTGACTTATCATAAACAGGACCATAGACTACTTTTTCCATTTTGTGTTCTATTGCTACCACTGAAATGCTATCCTAATACTCCCCCAACCCACTTCTTTCCTCTGTAGAACAGGATTATGTTTCTTTTGCAGTTTGAGAATCATTCTAGTCTTTAAGATTGTAAAAAAGTTGATAGATTTTGGGAACAAACCACAGTGAATGGAGAGGCTGAGAAAAATTTCCAATGGTTATAAGAGGCCATGGCTCCAATAAGCTTCTTGCTTTATTTTCAGAGTTAAAAGAACAATAAATTATATTGCAAAACAAATGGACTGTGTATATAATGTATAAAGCTTACAGAACTGGTTGTATTGGCGGACAATTATGGTACATATTTTTTGTTTTGTTGAAATGGTATGTGTACAGTTTCAAAGAACATAATCAAAGGGCAAAGGGCAGAAAAAGGCAAAATGTAGAGGGAAATTAGAAGATTTTTTTTAGAAGTGGGTGGAAAGAGTAAAAAAGGAGCCTCCAGCAGAATGAATGGAATTAAAAATTAAAGTAGTGGTACTATTTGGGAGGTAATGGAGTTGGAGAAAGGAGTAGCTTATAAAAATGTTTGGGAATAATAATTGTTAAATAATACTTAAAAGTAGAATTGAAATTAAATCTTATAAATATTAAAAAAAACCCAAAGAAAAGATGAAATGAAGTTTGCATAAATAGGGAAAGATGACAAGAATAAATGCAAAAGTTATTGGGGGCTTAGGTTTCAAGGATGCCTGAAAAGGAAATAGACAAGATTTGGATTAAAATTTTACAAGAGGTGGCAAGAGAAAGATATGTGGCGTTACCCGTGTGGCTGGTCAGCTGGTGTGCAGACTAAATTTTTGCTCTAACCTGCCCAACACTTTTTATACCAGTGTGCAGGTCAAGGACATAGTTTATGCTGTACTATTATTAATATAATTAATGTGTTTTGTTAATTATATTACTAAATGGAAGTATTGTGAACAAAATTAACTCTTTATACTATTATTTAGCTTATGCAAATTGTTGATCAAAGTACCTTTTTTCATTCTTAACTTTCGTTAGCTTTCATGCTCAGTTAGAGATCGTTGCATCAACTTCTGAATCTCTGTTCTGCCAGATTTTGCAAACTTAAAGGGACACATGGTTCTATATAAATAAACGTCTGGAACCAAAATTACAACTTGCAGGAGCTTCAGGCCAGGGCCAATGGCAAGAGATACAGAGAGCTGTAGTTCTGCAGTATTTGGACAGCCACAGGTTGTCTCTCTAGGGTAGGGGTGTCAAACTCACAACATCATGTGACGTGTCGCAAAGTATCACAATTTTTTCTCCATTGCCGGCAATGAAGTGCCCGTGGTTTTGCCATAACACATCTGGCCTGTGGGCCGGCAGTTTGATATCCCTGCTCTAGGGACTTCTATCCCAGTGGTGATCCATCCATTCCCTGCCCATGAGTCACATCTTTCACTACTGCTTGATTTTTTAAAAACTTGTGTAAATGGATGCCTATACATTGCTGCTACCTCTGATCTGTACGTTTGGTCCTTTATGTTTTTAATCTGATTCGTTTATGTGAAAACTTCTATTGGATTTTTGGATTATATTTTGAGTACTTTATGAGGTAGAACATAACTGATAAATTGTGACTCATAAAATATTTTCCATGCTCTTGCAGGAGAGATGCTGTACCATTGGTGGATGCCTTTGACTTTTCTGATGCATGTTTAAATTCAGCCCTGGGAAGCTATGATGGCCATGCCTATCAAAGGCTTTATGAGTGGGCCAAGAAATCACCGACCAATCAGCAGGTGAGCAGAATCAGCAGAAATAGAAATGGGAAATTGTGACAGGACAGGATAGGACAGGATGCCAGCTTTACATTAAAAGGCAGTATTTAACAAGAAATGGTTGGTTTTCAGCATCAGACCAAGGCAAAATCTATTTTGTAGAGGCCATAGGGAATGGCCTTGAAGGACAAGAGGAAGAACTGCTACCAAAGCAATGGTCAGATAAGCGGGTTTGAGTCCATTCCAACAAAGTAATTTGAAAAAGCATCTCAGACACCCCCTCCCCAGTTCACACAAAGATAAAGCGAAGGAGGGGGAAAGCACACTCAGACCAGTAGGATTCTGTAACTGTTACAGTGAAAGCAGTTCCTGAGCTATATGGCATTGATTTCTCAGGCTTAAGGACTGATATTTGCAGACCACTATTTTGTTCTAGATAAGAACTTGGGTGTGTGGATGTGTGTTGTGGCCTAGCAGTTAAGATGCTAGGCCTGTTGACTGGAAGGCTGGCAGTTTGAGTGTCAACGCTGCAAATACTGTATATTCTTGCTTTGACAATATGCAGAACTGTCTGGTATTTTTATAGTTAAATCAGGCAACAGTGAAAGGGGAGGAGAATAAGGATAGGCCGGGAAAAAGAAACCGGAAGTGAATCACATCTTCCAAGTTAATTGGAAGATGTGAACCATGATCCCAAAATAGGGGAGGGAAAAATGCCTGGAATGTATGTACAACGGAAAAGAATCTCAGATCTAAGCATTCCAAGTTAACTTGGAAGATGTGATTCACTTCCGGTTTCTTTTTCCCGGGCTTTCCTTATTCTCCTCCCCTTTCACTGTTGCCTGATTTAATTATAAAAATACCAGACAGGTCTGCATATTGTCAAAGCAAGAATATACAGTATTTGCAGCGTTGACATTGAGATCCATGTGCCCAGCTCCTGCCAACCTAGCAGTTCGAAAGCATGTAAATGCAAGTAGATAAATGAGTACCACTTCAGTGGGAAAGCATTCCTTGCACCTCGGCGTATGTTCATGCTGGAGATATAACCACAGAAGCATCCTTGGAGAATGTTGGGCTCTTTGACTGTGAATTGGAAATGAGTACCGCTCCTTAGAGTCAGACACGACTGGATAGGGGAAACCTTTACTTTTTGTTAAGAACTTAGGAACTCTGATTTCACTACATTTAGTTTAACACAGTGAAAACATAAAATTGGACAGTTAGTTATGAGGCTGTAATGATAAAATCAAGCTATGGTGTTCTGCCTTGTCTTTGCCACCAACAGTCATATGCCTAATGCTTTCCCTTCCCTTTCCCTTTTGCTTTCCAACAGGATGATCGGGTCTTCAAGACATACTTAAAACCACTTTTCCAGAATGCTCTTTCCAAGCTATGAAGAGGCGTCTGGCATGGAGAAACTCTTTCCGAAAATGCCTTCCAAGCAACACTGTCGATTTTCCTTAATAAGCCCATGTGATGTAATTGTAGACTGCCTTTAAGCTGGGTAACAGCAGACTCAATTGTCCCAAAGGTGCTTTTTCCAAAAGTCAACTGGACTTTTGTTTTTGTTTTTCCCTTTGAAGACATTTTACTTCTCATCCAAGAAGCTTCTTTAGAAGTGAAATAAAGTGACCTGAAGAAGCTTCTTGGATAAGAAGCTACATGTTTTCAAAGGGGGGGGCAAGAAAGTCCAGTTGTCTTTTGGAAAAAGCACCTTTGGGACAACCATGACCTGGATGACTGGGAATCTCCATGAACAGCAGACTCCTTTTGTTATACAAAAAAGCAGGCTCTGATTCCCAAAGAGCACGTGATGGTGGGATATTCAGAAGATGGTTCCCCACCAAATAGTGATCCTGTATTCATTTTCCATTCTCTATGAAGTCAGAACCAGAAAAAAGCCATACATATTCCCCAACAGAACCTTCTCCATTCTGATATCCTTCAAATATATTAGACGGCAACTATCCACAGGGAAATTGTATTCCATGTTATTTGGAACTAGGAAAGGATGCCCTAAAGCAGACATGTCAAACACAAGGCCCGGGGGCCGGTTGCGGCCCGCGAAGTGGTTTCATGTGGCCCACGAAGCCATTCTGGAAACAGTGAGGAAATGGCCCCAGCTGCCTTGGCCCGGGCCCAGGCTGGCTGGGAGCCAATGTACAATTTTGTGGTGGCCATCTATGCTGAAATGCATTCAGTCTTAGCTCCACAAGGCCGTCTAGAAACAGCGAGGAACCAGCCCCTGCCGCGTCGGCCCCACCCCCTGGGTGCATGCTGGGGAGGTGTCACCCTTTGTGAGGAATGAAGAAATGAACCACACCTTGGCGCTTGCCCCGGTCCCACCCCCTTCTGCCAGAGACCCTTAGATCTGTCCCATTCCTGCCCAGGCCCCCACAGGCACCCTTGACGCGAACGATGTAGAGCTGGCCATGCCCACCCAGTAGGCCACACCCACTCCATTCACGGCCCACCCAGTAGGCTGCACCCACCCTGGCCGCACCCACCCGGCCCCCCGAGGGCAACCGCAATGCTGATGTGGCCCTCAATGAAATTGAGTTTGACACCCCTGCCCTAAAGCAGTAATGATGGGGTGCTAATAGGAAAGGTTCATATAGTTGCGTTGGGGTTGGTGCTTTTGAGTCAGGGCAGATTTCTAACAACTGCCTAGGCTAGTCCTTGCAGTTGAAGGGATGAGAGGGAGGGATTGGTCCAAGGTCACCAGTTGAATTTGTACCTAAAGTGGCACTAGAACTCACAGTCTTCCAGTTTTTAACCCGGTGCCTTAATCATTACACTAAACTGGTTCTCATGAAAGTTTTAGGGCTTACTTAATTTTTGAAAAAGTTATTGAAGGCTTACTAGAGTTACAGACCAAATCAATGTCACAAAATGACCCTGAGATAACATTGCTGGGGGGCAGTTAGTGGTTGAGTACATGCTGATATTAAATCTGATTTTGTTTTACTTAATAAATGCATTCTCAGAACCAAACACATCATATACTGTATAGTGAGCTACCTCTCCCTTCCATCACTTCTAAAATCTTGAAACTTGGTGATTCTTTTTCTTACTACGCATATTACAAATGATTGCTATTTTATCTTGCGACTGTTGACACTGGATTCAGATCTGCATTCAGACTGGGTCTCATTTCAACTGTGTTTTGGACATTTGCTATTTCTCCATCTTCTACAAATAAAGTGGGGAAAAATCACACTGAGGTTAAGAGGAATATGTTGAAATATAATAATGCTATTTTGCAGAGGAAACCCTGAAACATAAACGAGAACTGAATAAAACAAGGAATCAAGTACATCCAGAGGTGTTATAAAGACATTTACAACCCTCTGTGTGATGAACTAAATAAATTTAAACTGAAATATAGGATTTGTCTACTTCTGCTTTGTAGTTACATTATATCTGTCTCTAAGTCATTGCCCTACAATCCCATTTATGAAGGAGCTTTTGAAGGACAAAAGAACACAATCAATATACAATCAATTATATTTGTTATGTGGCTTAATTAAGAATAAAATGACTGACAGCCACTGTGTTTAAAAAACTGTTCAACGTGCCGTTTCCAGTTGGAAGCAATTGTTCAGACCTTTCTGGAAAGTTTCCAATATTGTTTTGATTTTTCTGGAGAAGTTACAAGTTCTAAATCAAGCACTGAACATTTTGGAACATCCAGAACATTTCCAATAACATCAGAATAACCCATTTCAAGCTTGGAATATTCTGAATATAAAACAGTCTCCTCTTATGGATTAAATTCCACTGTGTAAAGAATTTGCTCATCGGGCATGTATTTTAAATTAGGAGTGAAAAGGTTCTATTTTTAAAAATCTTATGGGTATCATAAAATACATACACACAGAAGCAGCCCTAGATTTGTTCCCCTGGAGGCCAGCAATTAATTGGCTGGCAACCAAGTACAAAGGATGGATTTGGGCAGATCAGGTGTCACAACCATGGGCCTTGGTTGGGTCATGCTAAAAGTTATAAAGGCAGCCTAATTCACCTCATAAAGCTGTTAAAAATGTGTTTCTGGACGTACTCAAGGGAAGATAAGTTTGGTACAGCAATGAAGATGCGGGCCTAGAAACCAGAAGACCAATCCAGGAGACTGTTTCTTCTATTCCCCCTTAGGCACCAAAGCCAGCTAAGGTGACTTTGGGCCACTTTCTCTCTAAGGTGAGTTTGCTATGCAGCAAACAGGGATGAGAAGCATTAGATATGCTGCCTTGAATTACAGAAAATAAACATAGAAATTAATAATATATTAAAATTTGGCAATCAAGTGTATCACAAAACTCGTTTTTTAAAAGATTTAACTACTATAGTCATGAGGGATTGAAGTTTTAAAGTTAAAGAGGTGATATTTCAGAATCTGAAAAAATGCTATCTATATAAATAAAAATGTAAATGTTCATTTGTTCAAAATCTTAAATCTCCGAAAGTTCTTCACCGATTGCTTTGAAATTTTGACACAACGTTGCATTCGAATACGCGCGTGTTTTTATATACCTACTATTATATAGATGTCACACCTGTGACAGGTAAAAACATGCTTTTTCTGAAAAACAGCGCCATCTGTTGGACGTAAAAGCTTTCTCTTTTCTTTCTTTTCCATTTAACCAGACTGAGCCACAGCAACGCGTGGCTGGGTACAGCTAGTGAATAATAAAGATCACATTTTATTATAAAAGGTTTTAATTAATAAATTATGATCTGGGCTGGGCACAGATGAATGATGAATGTCTGTGATTTACAAACAATAAAAATTAGCTTGTTCCAGCCCTTTCTTTTATCAGATTTACTTCCCTCTACAACATTTAACATTTATTTCAAAGTTTCTATTTCTATGCCTTTTTAGAGATAATCTTCCCTCCCCACCCCAGCAAAAGAAACAGCAAAAATAGTAATTATCCACACAGAAGTTCTTTTTGGCCAGAAGTAGAGGCACAATTTCCTGCAATGTCAGCAACAGCAAAAACCAAACCATTGTTTTTCATTGCACATTTCAGGTCTTATGAAAATCTTATTAAAACTGCAATTTTTCTCAAATCAGGTAACATTGAGAGTCGTGTACCATGTTGCAAATTCTAAAATAAGAGGTGGCTTATAAAATATTACTATTTGCCCAGATTTGTTATAGATTTTATCTTATTTAAAAATGATAGATTATTTTGTGATGCAATTAAACTACATATGCAAATATACCAGAATGTAATTCAGGGACCAATTTAATACAGTTAAGTGCTAAGGGTTTGCATTGGATTAATATTTAAACTTCTGTTTGCTCTCTACATAAAAATTCCTAACCCTGCAATAGATCCTGTTCCAGAAATGCATGATCTCTCTTATAGAATTGATGTATTATTATTATTATTATTATTATTATTATTATTATTATTATTATTATTATTATTATTATTATGATGTTCGAATGGACCTTGGAGGTCTTCTAGTCCAACCCCCTGCTCAGGCAGGAAACTCTGTATCATTGCAAACAAATGGTTGTCCAGTTTCTTCCTTCAGTGTTGGAGCATTCACAGCTTCTGGAGGCAGGTTGTTCCACTGATTAATTGTTCTGTCAGGAAATTTCTCCTTAGTTCTAGGTTGCTTCTCTTTATGATTACTTTCCATTCATTGCTTCTGCCTTCAGATGCTTTGGAGAATAGTTTGACTCTCTCTTCTTTGTGACAACCCCTGAGATACTGGAGCACTGCTCTCATGTCACCCCTCGTCCTTCTCTTCATTAAACTAGACATACCCAATTCCAGCAACCGTTCCTTATATGTTTTAGCCTCCAGTCCCCTAATCATCTTTGTTGCTCTTCTCTGTACTCTTTCTAGAGTCTCAACATCTTTTTTACATCATGGTGACCAAAACTGGATGCAGTATTCCAAGTGTGGCTTTACCAAGACGTTATAAAGTAGTATTAACACTTCACATGATCTTGATTCTATCCCTGTGTTAATGCAGCCTAGCACTGTGTTGGCTTTTTTGGTAGCGGCAGCAGACTGCTGGCTCATATTTAAGTGATTGTCCACAAGGACCCCAAAATCCCTCTCACAGTTACTACTATTGAGCAAAGTAGCACCTATACTGTACCTGTGCATTTGGTTTTTCTTGCCTACATGTACAACCTTACTTTTTTCACCATTGAATTTCATTTTGTTAGATAGTGCCCAATGTTCAAGTCTGTCAAGATAATAATAATAATGATGATGATGATGATGATGATGATGATGATGATGATGATGATATGATGATAAAGTTGGAAGGGACCTTGAAGGTCATCTAGTCCAACCCCCTGTTCAGGCAGGAAACCCTATATCATTTCGGACAAATGGCTGTCCAGTCTCTTCTTAAAAACTTCCAGTGTTGGCGCATTCACCGCTTCTGGAGGCAGGTTGTTCCACTGGTTA